CAAACCTGCAACCGTGACAGTACCTGGATGGGAGACCACATGGGAAAGCTAGGTTGCTGCCGGAAGTGGTGTTACTGAGGCCAGCAGGGGGCGCCCAACCTGTGTGGGTCATAATGCCCCAGTGAGCGCCGTCTTTCGGATGAGATGTTAAACCGAGGTTGTGACTCTCTGTGGTCAATAAATATCCCAGGATGTCCTTTGAAAAAGAGTAGGAGTTTCACCCCGGCATCCTGGCCAAATTTGCCCACTGGCCTCTGTCCATCATGGCCTCCTAACCATCAGCTGGTGTGTGGTGTATGGTCTGGCGCAAAATGGCTGCCGTCGTGTTATTCAGGTGGATGCTGCACACTGGTGGTGGATGAGAAGACCCCCCCCCCCTCTCTCTCTCTCTGTGTAAAGTCCTTTAAATGCCCAGAAAAGTGCTATATAAATAAAAGGAACTATTATTATTATTAGATACTCAAAATCACATGACTCAGACTCAAGGGCAAAATACCTGATCAGGATATCCCTAGCAAAATGTGACAAAGAAGACCCTGTACTGTTGCCACTTTAAGACTTGTATGCAGGAAAAATGGGACAAAATTACACCTGAAAAACATCACTTGGTGTCTTCAGTCCCTAAATATCCTTTAAGTGTTGTGAAAAGGAACGCCAACATTAAAAAATGGTAAATGCTTTACTGTTCCAACTTTATTTGAAATGTGTTGCAAGAACCAACATTGGAATGTGTGTTTATTTGAAAAAATAAAAACAAAAATCACGAGAAACACATTAAATAATGTTTGTTGTTTTGTCTGCAGTGAAATACAAGTCAAAGTAAACTTAGAAATCCCTACTTACTTTCTTTTAATTGCATTTTCCATACTGTAACACCAGGCATCTAAAATCAGAGAATGTGGCATGAATTAAAATGTATGTATCAGCCGCTCTTCTCTTCCTTCTATGCTAGCCTCTACTGCTAAACAGACATACTGCCACAACAAAATTACCAATTTGTCTAACTATTGCATCCTCTTTAAAATGTTTTCCTTCCTCCTGTCCCCTGACAACTTTGCCACCGTCTTCATTAATAAAACAACAACCGCTAGAGCACAACTCTCCACAGTAAAAACTGACAAACACACCTTGACAGCAAGCATAACACAGGCTCACATCCTTGTCTCTAATCCCTAATCCACAAGTTCCCAAACTAATTTTTCCCATCTTTTCAAACTACTTGTCAGCTTCTTCCTATTCCATCTTACTGCCTAGACAAACCATTTCTCAGGCAGAGAATCTGAGACAAAATCTTGCTCAAAAGTGGGGAAAACCCCATTTATAAAAATACTCATGTAAGTGTGGACATGGCCTAAGCCTCTAAAAGGTTCTCACACAGAGCAAGAGTCTCCAAAAATACACATTCAACCGAGGTAACCCTTGCTCTCTGTACTTGAGTTCTAGAGACTAGCAAGTGTGGCATAAAAATATTAGTTCTTCTCTTCCTCGACCTATCCACTGCTTTTGAAAGTTCACCACTGAAGACCCTCATGACAAAGTAATCACACATTAGTAGTTTGAGTCATAGCTCTCAGGTAGATTCTTCAAGGTGTCATGGAAGGGTAAAGTGTCTAAGTCGCAAGCTCTATCTATTGGGGTGCCTCAGGACTTAGTTATTAGACCCTTTCTCTTCTGTATCTACATGGCATTACTAGGTTCTGTCATTTAGAAACATGACTTCCCATATCACTGCTATGCTGATGACAATCAACTCTACTTTTCATTCTAGCCTGAAGATTCGACAACTGTTGCGCTGATTGTCTGACAGATGTTTCTTGATGAATTTCTTGAGGACAATAACCAAGACAACTGCTTGTGGTTACAGCCAACCCGACATTTCCAACAACTCCTCTATACAGCTAGCCACATCGTCTATATCTCCTTCCAGGTCAACAAATAACCTCAAAGTTATGATGGATGATCTGAAGAACTTCCCAAACCACTCTGTTACGATTGCCTTATACAACAGGAAGATTAGGCCCCTCATCAGACCATAACAATTCTTAGTTATCTTTGTTCTGTTCAGGTTATATCAGGGGTCAGCAACCCGTGGCTCTAGAGCCGCATGCGGCTCTTTAGCACTGCCTTTGTGGCTCCCTGGAGCTTTTTCAAAAATGTTTTGAAAAAGATGGGGGAGGTTAATATATTTTTTCAGTTTTAATATGATTTCTATAGGAGGACAAACATTTTTAACTTTTTCAAATGCTGTAAAAGTTTGTAAAATTAATATTTAATTTCAACATTTCTGTCAACGAAGATTTGCGTCATAGCCTGCGACACACGTTTTTATCAGCAGGGCGGGATGCCAGGCAGGTGGCTGTTGTAAACAAACCGGGAGATAATAAAGCATGGAAAACCGGTGGTGACTACATGAAGGAGTCATTCATCAACATATTAGAACACCTATTTGCAGATTTCAAAAACAAAACCAAGATAATACAAAAAATTAAAGATATACCTCTCTCCGCTAAGACAGTGAAGGAGAGGTCTATTAAAATGGCAGGTAACATCACCGATCAGCAAACCAAGGACATTAATTCAGTGCCAGCATAATCTATTGCCTGTGATGTGACCAATATTCAACGCGCTTTTATGAAGGTATGTGAACTCTGATGGGCCGCAAGAAGAAATGATCAAATTAATACCACTGAAAGACCAAAGGCTGTGCTGAAGTGTTTAAATGACAAAGAAATAAACACCAACCACCTGATTTCAGTGGCTCATTATGTATTGGTTGCCAACTTAGTCATTTTTATAGTAGGCTAATATAGCTAATATAGATACATATATAGATACATGTGTTGACCAGAAATAGTTTCCCGTAAAAGCTGGGCATTAGGGGGTGGGGACTCAATCAGAAGGAGTAGGGTCAAGCTGAAGAGTTTGGACATATTTGCGAAGGGGTTCCCACAGTTTAATAAAAATAGTGCTAGTTCGGTGAAGAGAGTACCTAATTTTTTTTTAATTTCATAAAAGAAAGAACATTTCTTATCCAACAAGTGTGAGAAGGAGGGTGAGGGCTCTTCAAGTTCAGAAGAAGGCACTGATGTTTGCCTACAAAAATGCATGTGCCCATTTACATACATTTCAAACAGAAGTTGAGATACTTCGGATGAAAGAGTCATGAAATGTTCAAAGTTACCAAGAAAGGTACCAACAACATTGTCCAACCAATCCATGTGTCATCAGTGACTCGAAGTATGTCAGTTAATTACTGTGAAAAGGCTCATACCTGCAAAACTGTATTGCACTGTGTGCTACCGTAATAAAGCATTGCATAGATGCTATCATTAAAATGTCACGTTTAGCATGATCAAAACAAAAACGGGAAAAAAAGATAGCGGATTCAAGTGCAGAATTTAATGATAATATAGTGCAGAAACAGTGAACAAAATCCAAAAATATCCAGGTGCAAAGTAACAAATAAACAACGAAACAAGAAACTAAGACAGATAAACACGAACTAGACTTTGGCAAAATACAAGAACAAGAAACTCGGTATGCAAGACTTACTAGGACTGGATACAAGAAAGACAAGGAAGACAAACGACGCGATGATCAACAGTGGTGGAATGATAGAACATATAGTCCAGATAATCAACGGTAAAACAGATACAGCTGTGATGACAGATCAGTGTATGTGTTCCGGTGTATGCGCGTGGTAAGTATGGAGTTGTAGTCTTTTTGGGACGCTGTAGGAGTCCTGTTGAACTACAGCGCCCTCAGGTGGTCACTGACCATTGTGACATAATAAAAGTACAATAAGTTACATTTTTTATCATGTACAGAATGTTTACAGATACATCCTTAAGAGTATTGTCACATATGAGTGAACTATCACTTTACCTGGCCCTTCAAGGTGGAATTGACCCACCCAACTTTAGCAGCAGAGAGGAAAGTAGACTCCAGTACTCTGTGAAAACCAATCACTGTTACATAATACATGAAATCCAAGCACGGTTATCTAATTTCCATAATATCTTAAGTGAAAACCGTCCAGTGTCCCAACAGAGGACACAGTCCATTTTAGTGCAGCATCCCCTCTGATTCCTGGAAAACTTTGTATTTCACATCATATATTATGTAACCTCCTTATTACTAATAATTAAATCATCCATTGCTTTTTATTCTTTGTCTCCTACATACAACCAACATCATACAAGAGTTCATCAGATACATGCTGTCCAATTTATTTCTTTCGTATTTAAAAAAAAAGCAAGTGTTTATCAGCCCATTTTCACCATGAATGCTCTCAGCAGTAAACTGCCAGCAAATTCCCCATTGAGCAGCTCATCTCAGTGTATTGAGGAATACATGGCTCTCAGCCACGTCCTCAGTGGAATACAACCAAGCCCTCCAAATCCCGAAATCCTTCAACATTAGGGAAAACCCCTTTTATAGACCGGCAAAAACGGCGTCCATTTATTTGCTTCATGTAACTGCAGAGAATAAATAACATGAGCCACTCCACACACAACATTTAATCCACAAAGGCCACATTTAATTAGCTTCCTACAAACAAATTATTCCCAAAGAGCGAACCAACAAAAGCAACAGCAACATGCAGCTCTGGCTTTATTAACAACAAAAAAAAACAGGTTCATGCAAATATTGTGAAAAAATTACAGCAACAGAACATCTATAGCTGCTTATGGGGACAGTAGTAGCTGATGTAAAGCTAATTTGACTCTTGTCCGCTTGTGAATTATCGAGCGATCCCAAATGGCCGCCCCTTTGTCACAAGTCTTGATGGCATCATCATCTAGTGTGAACCCCATAGAGCAGCTTGCTTTCCACAACAAGAAGCAGCACTCCAACACACATGGCTAAGTATGTGTGCCATTGTATACTGACAGACACTTAAAACAGGGAGCACCAAGACCTTTAGTTTACTTCACTTGTTGAAATAGTGGAACTAAGGCTTGCCGCTCCCTGTTGGTGGGTGTATGTGCTCAGCCCACCTTATTTGTCACGGTGAGCAGGGGTTTTCCATCTGAGGATCCCTTACTTGGTAGCTCCTTCAGCACAATAGCAACCGCCCTAGAGTCTTTCTCCTACAACAGTGAAATCAACAGTGAGTTGTGTCAGTTTGTGTTCGCAAACACAGTTTGTGTTGTGGCTCGCAGCCATTGAGGGGCTACAGAACATATCCAATTTGATCGGAATGATCATTTGTAGGCTTACAAGAAAATAAAATACATCGTCCTTGCTTTTTTAAGTCATATTTTTGTTGTTGTTAATGACAGTTCACTTAACTGACACAAAACAATGCATATATAGCATGCTACCATCAGTTATGCAGCTCAAAATAAATAAGTGTATAAATAAAATGTATATAGTGGAGTGGTATAATATAGTAACACTTAAAATTAAAATGTAGCTAATTGCATTAAAAAACTATGTGAATTTTACTTTAAAAACGTTAATAAGCAGTTTACGTATTCTGTAATTCACTCGTGTTTTGTGTCTACACTGAAAAAAATGATTCAACGATGATTCCTTGGATTTACTAAATATATTTAAGTTAAGTGGTTGTAAACAATTTATTTGAGCTGAATTTACACAATTAAATTAAGTTGAACATTACTAAATTTAATTTGTTTATTTACATTCAGCACATATAAGTAGTTTGCAACAATTTTGCAGACATCGTTTTTTTCATTGTATGCTTTTGAACTGCATTATTAGATTTAGCAAACCGTTAAAAAAAAATCCATCTCTACGAATACATTTCGATGCGGGTTTTAGATGACAACGCCACTAGAGAGCGCTGTTTACATTTGTGCGAAACTGAAATACGTCACTTAGGGTACATTTTGTCTGTTTCAGATACACATCATTCCTATTAAACTTTTTAACATTCATATTTAAAGGAGCAGAGATCAAGTTTCCATCATGCAAATTGTATAGTTTAAATAAAAGGAACCACACATGAATCACAAAATGCAGTTTTTTCGTTATATAAGGTATATTTTGTAGTGTCTGACCTCAATGAAATTCTGTGTTACATCCACAAAGGGTTGAATAAATGTTAAAAATGTTTAATTATTATGTATTTTTGATTTTAAGAATATTTCTGTCCTATTGAAAGTTAAGATGACAAATCCACTAGAGGGCGCTGTCTACATTTGTATGAAAGTGAAATACGTTTTCTGGTACGTTTCAGATACACGTCATTCTCGTTCAACACTTTAACATTCAAATTTGAAGGAGCACAGATCAAGTTTCACGCAAATTGGCACTCAAAAAACAAACAAGCAAAATGTAAAATACATTGCTCCGAATACATTTCGTTGCACGTTTCAGATGTCAATTCCACTAGAGGACACTGTTTACATTTTGTAAATGTGAAATACGTTTTGTTGTACGTTTTAGATACGCAATAAAATTTGAAGTAGCAGTGGTCAAGTTTCCGTCAAGCAAATTGTATAGTTTAAATAAAAGGAAAAACACAAAAGAATCACGAAATAAAGGAATTTGTTAATTTATGGATATTTTTGTACAGTGTATGAGATTATTGAATTTCATGTTTCATCCACAAGGGTTTAATACATTTTTAAAATGTTTATAAATTGTGTAATTTTTTTGTGTAATTTTTTTTATTTTATAAATATTTCTGTCCTTTCATCGAAAGTCGCTAACATTGTTATTGGAATTCAAAAAACAAATAAGCAAAATGTAAAATACGTTGCTCCAAATACATTTCATTGCACGTTTCAGATGACAAATCCACTAGAGGGCACTGTTTACATTTTTGCGAATGTAAAAAACATTTTTTGTGCACATTAGATACATGTCAAGTTTCTGTCATTCTAATTATAAAGTTTAAATAAACAAACATCAATCACAAAATGTAGGATTTTGTTAATTAATGGATATTTTGGACAGTGTCTGAGATCATTGAATTCCGTGTTGCATCCATAAGGGTTGAATTTTGTTTTTATTGTTTATTTATAGTATTTATTGTATTTTTATTTTATGAATTTTTCGGGCCTTTTATGGAAACTCACCTACTTTGTTATTGGCATTTAATTAAGAATATTTTTGTCTGAGATCATTCCACATTGCATCCACAAGGGTTTAATACATTTTTTCTAATGTTTATTTATGGGGTATTTTTATTGTATTTTTATTTAATGATTTTTTCTATCCTTATATTGTCAATGGCACTCAAAAAACAAACAAGCGAAACGTAAAATACGTTGTTCCAAATACATTTTGTTGCACGTTTCAGACGATACATCCACTAGAGGGCGCTGTCTACATTATTGCGAATGTGAAATACGTTTTGTTGCACATTTTAGACACACGTCATTCTTATTAAACTTTACGTTAACATTAAAATTGTAAGGAGCAGTGATCAAGTTTCTGTCATGCAAATTGTAAAGTTTAAATAAAAGGAAAATACGGATAAATCACTAGGAAAATCAGGAATTCATTATTAATGGATATTTCTGTACAGTGTCTGAGATCATTGAATTCCAATTTGCATCCACAAGGGTTGAATTTTGTTTTTAATGTTTATTTATTGTGTATTTTTTATTTGGACTAAAACATATCAAAATAAATGTAGGTCATTTATCATTATCAACCCTAGCACTGAAATATGAATCAAACTATCTGTAATATTAGCTCATCCCTATAAATTCTCTTTAAAACAAAAAAATAACAAGTCATTTATCATTTCCAGAACTCAACCACACACACACACACACACACACACACACGACTAATCTTCAGCAAATAACATACTGCGCTGTAGTACACAGAGTTGTAAACCACTGGATTGCGCTATTCAAGGAGACAGTGCCACCCAAAGACACCATCCAAAAACATGTGGCTTACAACTGTGCTTTTAACAGTCCCCACAACACTCAGACAGATCTAAGCACTTAAGCCACCACTGGGACGCTGAGAGCCGGAGTGGAAGCAATTCGCAGCAGACTGCCATTTAAACCCCAATTTGCAGAGTTGAACAACAACACTGTTGGTACTACACAGCAATCCAATATAAATCCAACTGCTGTTTTGTGGTGATCAATGAAGTGAGGGCTCTAATGCAGCACTTCAGGGTCCAGCAACAAAACAACCTCAGAAATAGGCCCGAGCCGGGTCTAAGATTTGGATGGTGTGATAACCTTGGATTAAAATATCACGATATTGTAATTACTGCTCTAAAATAAGCTCTATTAAATGTCTGGGTAAAAAAAAAAAACCTTTTCCCCCCAAATTGAACACATTTCAAGGGACATTTCAAATATTTTGAAAGAGTAAACATTCATTCATTCATTTTTCTTTGGCTTGGTCCCTTTATTCATCAGCGGTCGCCACCGCAAGTTTATCCAGGATATGTTTTACACAGCGGATACCCTTCCAGCTGCAACCCAGTACTGTGAAACACCCATACACACTCATTCACACAAATACACAATGGCCAATTTTGTTCACCTAACTCACCTATAGCACATGTCTTTGGACTGTGGGGGAAACCGGAGGAAACCCACGTAAAAAACATGCCAACTCCACATAAAAATGCCAACTGGCTCAGCCGGGACTCGAACCAGCAACCTTCTTGCTGTAAAGCAACAGTGCTAACCATGAGCCACCGTGCCACTCAGTTTGCCAAATATAAATGACTTTAATATTCCACCAGTGTTTACCTACATAAATGCATATTTCCCACAATTCTCTGTCATCCTAATTCCACTGGATGCTCGTGAGCCTTGATGTGATGGCCCGTTCAGTGCTGCTTGCAGTTTTAGATTAGCTTCGATTTCATGCATGCTCTTTCATGCATTTTTCTTTCTTTTTCAAGTGAAACACAAAATATGTCAAATCAATGGTTTTAATATGGTTGTAATGGTTGTAATTTAAATGGTTTTAATGGTTGTAATAGCACATCCACAAATAGAGCCTATCATCTGTCCTTACATCTCCGTCTGTGTTAATATCTTCTTTCTCGGTGTGCTTTTAGCGTCAAAGACATCCCGAATGACGTGACCAGTATGAAGGACATGATTATTGCATATATTTTAAATATTTCGCTCCATTTTGCTGGTAAATGAGTTCTGCACATTATATATTTACAATACATCAATATTCATGAGGCATACATCGACACAGTTTAGTCTTTGAAAGCAAGCTAAGCGTTAAAGAAGATAACACCGAATGCCATTTGGCAAAAGCCTCGTTCACACGGGATTGGTTTCATCTGGGGACTCTTTAATCTGTGTGACTACCCCCCCACATATGAAGTTCACATGGTGCATTTGTAAAGCCTGTGACACAATTTTACCCATTTAGCTCCTGTTTATGAAGTCAACACATTGTGTTGCCCAGTTCAATGGATAAAAGAGTAACAAATATAAATATAGCTGCAAGCAGCAATTAAGGGGCCAAGCACTTTTGACCAAAAGGTGGCGCTGCTCCAGAAGTTTTTAAGGACTTTCAGGGCATGGGGTTGAAGATGCATACCATGTTTTGTAATGATATGTGAATGTGTTGGTAAAATATAGCATTTTTGACCAAAAATCGAAATGGTCGATGCCCAAAATGGCTGACCTGTGAAAATCAGACATCATTCAGCTCGACATGCTCTGGCGCATGTAATGAGAGCAGTTTTATGAGTTTCGGACGAAAGGTTGAGACGTTATAAGCCAAAAAGCAAGTTTTTTGTATCTCCGGACCACTAGGGGGCAGTGCGCCGAAACTCCGCATGTAACCTCAGACCCTAGTTGTCATAACACATACCAAGTTTGGTGTGAATCGGTGAATGCGTTACGGAGATATCGTCTCAAGTCCATTTTCGCAAGTTCTTTGTAAAATTTGATCACAAGTTAAACGAAAACGGTTGGTCAAATCAACTTGAATTCCATAACTTTTGGTTGGTATGGTCTGTAGATCATGTTATTCAATTTTGGTGAAAATCGGAGAAACGGCCTAGGACGAGTTCGATCAAATAGGTTTTTCGAAAAATTTAAAATAGCGCGAAAAATTCATGACGGAAAATGACGTCATAGGGTGCGTTTGAATCGGACTGAGCCAAGGAATCAGA